TCTTTCAGTCAGCTTCACTTTGGTGTATAGCAACCACACATACTTGTCCACAAGTGTTCTCATACCAATTGCCTAAAAATGGAAAAAAGGGAAAACAAACCCGCAAAACCCCTCAGCTTCTCCTGTGAAAGAAGTTGGGCTTAGTCCCAGCTGTACCAATTTGATTTTTTTCCAGATGATGAACTGGGGAAGGGAGATGGAAATGGTGATTAAGTCAAGTAACCAAACTCAAAGTAGTAATGTAGGGCAGCGTTGCTGGCTGGAGAAAACTCAGCTTGTCACAGGGTACAGTCTGACATGGTTAACTTGCTAGCTAAAGGGAAGTGTTGAATGGAATTACCTGTACCAATGAATAGAAAGAAAAACTCGAGACTGAATGCGGAGCCCGGAAAGGTCTGGTGATTTTAGCTATGAGTTGAATGTTTGCCTTTATGTTAGAGCAGATGCCTAAGGAATACGTACTTCAAAAGTCCCAAGTGGTTGGCCTATTTTCCTAAAGAAGAGAAGAGGATGTAGCAGTAGGTCTGATTCCAGATGAGATAAGACTTTTTTATAACAAAGGTAACGTTAATGGGCAGATTCTGCTGTAAGTGAGTTATTCAATATCACAAAAGGGCTTCTGACAGATAGGAAATAAAAGATAATTATCCAAAAAGGTATTCAATTTTCTTAAGGGAAAATCTTATGGTTTTTATTCTGTAGTTTCCTGGCTTGTTCATTATGCAGTCCTTCCTCACAGCGACAATCCTATGCACTGAATGAAATGCAGTAACAATAGCATTTGACTAAAAAGACAGTACTATAATACCTTCTGACTGAAATTTGATGCTAAACTTAATTCTGAAATTTTCCAGTTTGTGAGTATTCCCAAATACTAAATTTGACCTAGTATAAATACTGATGGACCATAGGTTTAACAGCCCTTTACTTAATGCCTTTTCCCCATATCCAGGAAAACAAAGACACAAGGAAAGGAAATCTAACACTTGATCGCGTTTGGCCCTAAATTGGATGACCAGCAATGTTAAGGTAAGTCCTCAGGAGTGGGTTTCCTTTTATTGTTGGAAGATAACTTGAGCATGTAGAGACTTGAAAGTCATCATGAATTGGAAGTCTCTTCCCTGGCGAGTGTCAACAAAGTCAGCAGTGGAGATAATGACATTGTATCAGCAGCCCTGGAGAATTTGAGGGCCCAACTGCAAGGTAAATCCCAAGAGGCCTGGGGATAGAGAGTTCTCGGCTGATCTCAGTAGATCATATCTGTGCCATGCATCATTTGGGAGCTGTGACAAGATGGGGTGGGGATAATGAAGGCAGTGAAACCTTGTAGTAAAAATAATTCCATACATATATATATATATATATATATATATATATACCATTCCTGGGTTATTCTAGCTAGAACTTTGTTTAAAGGCAAAAGAGGCCAAAAACTAAACCAACACCTCCACAGCTTGAGACACGTACTTTTTAGGAGAACATGTCACTCTTGCTTCAGCAGAGCTGTTCAGCTCCAGATAGCATGAGCATTTCACACAGGGGCCCTTACTACAGCTGGTGTTCCCATTCCTGCCTAGGGATGCTGCAAGTCCACCGAGGCAAGCATATTTTAGCCTCAGTTTTATCATTTAAAAGCTGCACCTTGGGTCATTTGGGGTTATTCTAATCTTCGGCTACAGATAATGATTTCTCGTCATCATCTCCTTCAGAATATTACAGTGATGTAAGTACTTCTTCTTGTTATTTCTCTCTTCCCAAATATAATATTCCCAATTGAATATTCATTGCAAATAAGTGAAACACAGGGAATAGATCTGAACGTATGTGAAGATCAATGCACTCTTTCTCATTACTATTTTGTGTTTAGGTGCTGTGTGAATACTTCAGAGATGGTCACAAAGGACTTGATTCTAAGTGAAGTAGGTAAAGGGCAGCAAAGAAAACATAAAGGGAGATAAGAGAGGAATAAAAATAATGAAACAAGCGAGTAGATACACTGGGAGCAGAGTATTGATGGCCTTATGACCTGGTAAATGCCTAGAAACAAAAGCTATGTCCAGATTTTAAGAGTTTTTCCTCTCTAAAACCTTGAAGTAGGAACAAAATAAGGATTAAGGTTGCGCGGTGTCTAGTGACTGCTTGTAACTTCTCGGTTTCCATGGCTCATGGCACTCAAATAAACCTGTTTCTGACCTTGAGAGGTGAGCCTATTATCAATTGACAATAGTAGAAGAGATGTGTGTAGCTTTGATTCACACTTGCCCGTCGCTGCCCCACTCCCTAAGTTCACTCCCTGGCTCTCATGCTCTTGCTGTGATGTATAATTTCCACTGTTCTCAGGATGCCTCTCCCAGAAGCTTTGTTAACGATGTCTGTGTCTCCCAGAAGGATTTAAGATTCAGAAATACCCGTTACCTCCAGTATAAACTCCCTGAAGCACATACCAGATGACAAGGTAGTTTCTTAAAATGGAAAAGAAAAGCAAGAAATGCCTTTTATATGGCTTTTGAAAAGTTGTCTCAGGGTATTTAAAATAAACATGGGTTTCTGAAAGATATGAAGACTCTGATGGGAGCTCAGTTTTTGCTTCACTTTCTCTGTAATATCTTCTGAATATTACAGAGTAATGTTATTCCCTAAGGGAAGCACTCTGAAACCTAGATGAAAAACATACTGAAAAATTCAGCAGTTGGCATTCCACTTTGAAACAAGTAAGAATACTTTCTTCATCTTTTCTGAAATCACTGTTTCCTGGGCACATGGCACTGTGTTGTTACACTATGTATGCTAACTCTAGTTAAGAAGGAATGAGGATGGAAATAACTTTTGGGGAGCAAAGTCTCCCCTGTACAGCTGTTGATGTGCCTGGTAACCATTTGACTGGAAGCAGTCTCAGTTGATCTTTTCTTCTCCAGTTTCTTTGAAGGCAGGCAAAATGTTGGTTCAGTTTGGACTGTAAGGATGTGGTGTGGTGGGGTGTATATGTGTTCTTGTTTTGGGGCTTTTCTTTGTGTCAGACATTTACCTTGTCTTTATGCATCTGTTCTTCATGCTCAAATACCTTGCTTGTTTGATGGGCAAGAACATGATGGAAACTGCAAAATTTAGGCATTGTAAAACAGTTTCTAAACAGATAAATTCAAGAGTTACACTAGTTTATCTTTATTTTATTCTGATGTGATCCTGAGCACTGGCAATAGCTGGAACATATCAGCTATTGTCTTAGTCAAAGATGCACCTTCTCTCTCAGCTGACACCGAACGATTTTTGGTCTATAAGACATTACCATTTCAGCAATGTTAGCTGACAAAGTTACAGACAGAAGAAAATGTGCTTACTGTTTAAAACACCACTGATGTCAGTGTGGGCAGACGGCTACTACAGGTGAATGCTTTCCAGCCATTTTGATTCCAGTGCATTGAAGCAGAAAAAATAAACTAGATGCACTTCATAGCTGTGATTTAGCACAGTGTAAAATACTTGGGGGAAAAAGTCTCTACAGCCCAGTTATACAAACAAATTTGGCTCATGGTAACAGAAAACAAAAAGATTGGACTAATGGAAAAATACATGGCTGCTGATTTTTCTTAAAATTAATTTATATGAGTGGCTTTGTTGACTGAGCACATGTTCATGTGGATGTGGGGTGTATTATTCCAACCCTTTCTGTAACATAACCGCGGTGACTGCGTCACATGGTGCTAGTGCAAACAAAGTCTCGCTAACAGCCCATGAATAGAAGCATTTTCCGAGAATACAGTTTCTCACTGGGACTATCGACTGGTTCCTGTGCTACCAAGGGATAAGGATAACTGTGGACAGCTTTGGAGTTACATAGAGTAAGTGTAGTAACCTGAAGTGTGCAAGACCATTATGAGTGTTTGTTATATAATAAAAAAGAGTACAAGGGATATAGTTAATTGTGTGACACTTTTGATTGATTAGATTGGAAGGCAGTAGCTAATACAGTAGAATACAGCTTGTGAAACACCAACTATTTTAATTCTATCTATATTCCATGTCCTTTTTGTTCTCTTAATGCCTGCTGTTTGAATCTGAGAGGCCATCACACTGAGCTGACTTCCTCCACATAGCAAGACTCCCTGCATTTTCCTTCAGCTCCATTAGCATCCTATTTGCATCAGATCCAACATAAACACTGCTTTCTTGATGGACTCAGCTCAACTTATCTTTCTGATCTTACAGCCATTTATTTTCTTAGCTATTAAGCTACTCATCCTAATCTTTATTTTGTTTCTGTCTCATTGTCTTGTGTTATCAATTCATCTTCTGGGAGCTTTTTCTCCTAGAACAAAAGCACTTTTTAAAATATTACTGTAAAACTCTTTGTTTTTCTCTTGACATTCTCTGAGAACTGTTTTTGGACGCACATTAGGAAAAAAATTAACTCCATATAGACATATAAGAAATGATGAAACTACACTTTGGACTTTGAAGAACATCTTGATCTTCTAACAGAAGTAAAAATATTTTAAAGGCTTGATGGGTGTGAATAAACTTTGTTGCAGGAAACGTTGCCTGTTTCTCAGCCGTCCCCGCAAGGGAGTGGAGTGAGCGAGGAGAGGCAGAGAGTCCTCTGGGAATAGGGGCAGTGCAAGACTCGGTCCAGAGCACTGGCTCTCTTTAGTCAGTGTCAAGTCGGCATCGTCATAAAGTCCACTGTGAACTCAGAAGAGCATTTTGGGACCTCAGGGGCTCCTGTCCCCCATTCCCCCGACGGGGGCTCTACCCCGCTATTCCCAACCCGAGCCCGGGCCCGTCCCCGCCCCTCCCGCGGCCGCCACATCCCACTTCTCACAGCCCGCCCCCACCGCCGCCTGCCACGCCCCCCGGCCGACGCCCCTCCCCCGCCGCGGGTTGCCACGCTCTCATTGGCTAAGTGTTAAGAGCGACAGGGCCGCTGGCCAATGGAGTCTGCGCTGGCGCCCCTGTGTAGCCCAATGGGCGCGCGCGCCCGCCGCCCCTGCCCGTCGCGGCCGGGCGCCGGGGCTGCGCGGTGCCATTCGGAGGGCGGGCGGCGCGGCGAACGGATGGTGGTGGTTGCAACTCTGTGGCGCCGGCGGGGGCAGGAGCTGGAGCAGGAGCTGGCTGGGAGCGCCTCCCCCCCTCCCCATCCTCCCTCCTCGGGCAGCGTGTACCCTCGTCGCGCCCCGCCGGCGACCACCCTGAGCCGGCAGCGCTGTACGATGTGAGCGGCCGCTGGCCTTGGCAGCGCCCCCGGTGCTCTCGACGCTGGGGCGGGCAGCGATGGCCAGAGCCTGGCGTGGGAGCAGCAGCCGCCGTCGCCGATAGGAAGCGCCGGGGGCAGCTGGGCAGGCGGCGCGGAGACTCCCTCGGGCCGTGCAGCGCTTGTCCCGCCCCGCCCCCTCTCTCCTTCCCCCCCTTCCTCCTCCTCTCCCCGCGGCCGGTGCATGCGGGGCGCCGGAGGCCGAGCTCGGGTTCCCCGCAGCCGTCGGAGCGAGTGACCCGCGGGGTCCTGCGCATCCCCACCATGTCCTCGTCCAGCTCCTCCCAAACTCCCCCGTCCCACCACCAACCCCCGCCGCAGAGGATGAGGCGCGGCGCCGCCGGGTCCCCCACTGCCGGTTGCGGCACGGCCGGGGGCCCCGGTAACGGCGCCGGGGGAGGCGCGGCGGGGACCAGCCGGCTGCTCCAGCCCATCCGAGCGACCGTCCCGTACCAGCTCCTGCGGGGCAACCAGCACAGCCCGACCCGGTCCCCTTCCGCCTCGGTGGGCAGCGGCACGGGGCCGGGGGGTCGCGGCGGGGGCAGCCCCCCTCCACCGCCTAGCGCGACGCCGCCGCTGGCAGCGGGAGGCGGCGGAGCGGAGCCGGGCAGGGTGAAGGGCAGGCAGCGGCGCTCGCCGGAGACCGGCGGCAGCAGGAAGAGCAGCTCACCTGAGAGACGGAGCCCCAGCTCCCCCGTGTACAGAGGTAAAGCACCGGGACAAAGCCGGTCCCGCTCCCCTGCCCTTCGGGCTGCCGTATGGGCTGGGGCCGCCCAGCCTCCGGGCACCCCGGGCTCTGCTACCCGCTGTGAGGCTTCGTTCTGCCCTCCCCCCGGGCCAGAGGGGGTGGGAGACTGGGGGACTCCCGGCCCGGCCGGAGCAGCCCCTCTGGAGCCTTGGGGAGCGAGAGTGAGTCCTAAAACACTTCCCCCCCTCCCCCCATCCACACCCGGGTCAGGTGTCGTGCCCGCGTTTGCCCTGCCAGGAGTGCAGCCGAACAGGGGAAAAAACATTTCGTCCCGTCGCCCTCCCTCGAGGTGGGGGGGAGGCGCCCCCTGAAATGTCATCCTCGGTCGAGGTGGAGATCCTGCTTGGGAAGAACACCTCCGTGCTCCCATCCGCGGGGCCTCGGGAGGACCGGAGCCGGGGCGAGGCCCAGGGGTCCCCCTCCGGCGGCTCCCCCTGCCCAGCCCGGTCCCTCTGGGGGCGAGCACCGGGGGCTCTGACGGCGGTGCTCCCTCTCCTTTCTACCCTTGAGCTCGGGCCCTGGCAGCGGAGGTGTGTAGTAGAGGAACGAGCCTAAAACTAACCCGCTTCCCTGTCTACAGCTGTAACTATTTAGTAGGGGTGTTAATGGGTTAGATTTATATCTGGGGTGTCACAACCGAGTTCCAAAGTGTGTGCTAAACCCAAGCCTCAAACGCTCTTCCTTTCTGCAGAGCTCAGTTTCTTAGACTTGCATTTTTATAGCATCTTAAGTTAAAAGATGGGATGTTTTCAAGTACGGACTCTAAAACAAGGAAATTCCCATATTGAGATGCTTAAAAACAAATAACAGACTCCTTGTGATATCTAATACTGAATCCTTGAAATTGTAAAAAAATCCCAACCAAATAAAATCCAACTCCAAACCCAAACAAACCAACCTCCAGTGCAGCCAAAATAGGCCTGTAAAGTTTATAATATAAAACTGATTCCCAGCAAGTGCAACTTAACCTGCGTCAGGTTGTCTGTTAAATTATTGAATGTGTTAAAGTAGCAGTGGCCATCTTACCTCCCTCCGTCCTTCCCCCATCACTTTAGCAGTTGAATGAATCAGACTAAATGGACTTTTCATGTTATCCTGTTGTAGCTATCAGGTGTCTCACATCATCTCTTTCTGGGAACGTTTTATGTGGTTCAATACCCCTCGCTTTTTCTATCCCTTCCATAAGTCTTACTGTGTTTCATTTCTGTGGCAAATTGTGGTCTGTGCTGGGTGCCAACATGTTTTGTAGCAGTGGAATCTTACCTTCTCCCCAATTCCCCCCTTCAGTTTTTATGTGTATTAAAACCTTTCTCTCTGTAGTATTTGTAACTTGGGCAGATCTGTCATTAGGACAGGGGCAGTTTTTTGCAAATGAGCAAAATGTCAGTGCCAGTTTGGCATAGTTAATTTGCCCTATGCATCTTTATGCAGATGACCAAATCGATTATGTTATAATCTGAATAGAGATACTTTGTAATTTATTTTTGAAAAAGATCATCGATTTACGCAGAAGTTTTGCATGCTTGAAAATGGAACTGAGCTTCAGTGGTTTTGCTTCATTCAAGCTCTATTTTTAAAGATCGTAGTTTTTTTCACTGTATGAAGCATTAAATGTAGATTTCCTTTTTTCCTTCTTAAACCTTTGGAAAATGCTAATGGAAAACTAGAAAAAAAGTCAGTGCGTATGAGTAGCGATGGTGCTGATGATGAACGTTCTAAATTATTTGATTATGGGGACCCGGAGGAAAACATTGTAGTGGTGCAGTGTATATAGTCTACGCTTAAGGTGTATTGAAGAGGGAGGAATGCAAACAGTTACCTGTAAGCAAGGAAAAATACTGCAAAGCTGTGAAGTATTTTGTTACTGCATATGAATTCTTTTGTTGGGGGGAACATTTTAATTTTAGAAAGTGGTTTCAGTCTTCTTCATCTGTGGGCTATTTTAGCCTTAATAAATCAGATTGTAGATTAGTACTGAATGACTTTTCCGTCACTCAACTTGTTTGAGCTTGCCTCCCGGTGAACCTCGTTAGCAGCACACATAGCTTGATTCGGTTTAATGGGTGCAGTGTGTAAAATCCTAAATGGTCCGTTAAGAAGTGCACCCTGTAATCTGTATGCGCTGCAAGGAATTCGTTCCCCCTCCTCCAGGTCAAGCCAGCTGCTGCTGCAGAAGCTGACATCCTCTAGCAAATCCTGAATGAATGAATGAAAACAACGTGATCGCCCTAATAATGACCACAATTGCACACGTCAACAGCTTTATTTTACCGAAATACAGGCACCATTTTCTAGCGGGCAGGGTAATAAGATACTCTATTTCTTCAGTTTTGGGAATGAAAAAAGATTTCCAACCCCCAGCCCTCTCTACCCCCAAACCCTAGATCTGTTTTTACACAATTTGGAATATGGTTGCATGCCATGGGGCAGTATTTTGTCTTTGTTTCCCTGTGCGTTCCTCAGCATTTCAGTACGTGATGTATGGTACTAAAAGCCTTGCTTGTAGTCTATGTGGTGATAGTAGTATATAGAAAACTGATTGCTGAACTGGAGTACTGCTGCAGTAATAATGGAGGACTTGGAAAAAAAAAATTCAAAAATGTTCTGTTTTCAGACATGGACCATCTTGCTGTGGCTTGTTAAACAATGTGCTACTCCAGCTATTTATAGTTGTTATCAGTATGCAAGTCTTGGGGAAGTGGCTTGATTAAGTTTTTTTTGTCAGTTTTTCAAAGCCATTTCCCACTGCTGTAAAATGTGAGCTTAGGCTGTAGGTTTAATCCTGTTGTTTTTCTCACCAGGGCAGGAGATGTTTGTCTTTGGTTCTGCAGTCTGACTTGGATTGTTTCACGAATATGCTCGTTCTGGAGACTGCTTATGATTCTGATGGATAGATGTTTTTTTCTTCTTAAGACACCTGCCTTCTTTCAGCCTTTTCCATTATAGATTCCTTGAACTGACTATTCTACTAAGCGATTTTGTTGTGGATATATTAGTGATTTGCCAGAGGTTCTTTTTATAAAGGAGATTTCTGTGAAAACACTCCAGCTTTGAGCCTCTACAGGTCACTGCAACTACCATTGCAGGCACTGACATCACCACTACATGAATGAAAGCAGCATGTTCTGTTTTTCCTCCCATCATCTTTTTCTCTCCCTTCTTTCTACTATGCTGTAAATGTTTTTGTTCTGCAGCAACACCCTGTGTATTTAGAATGTAAACATTTAATAATTTGATGATATTTCCTTTAAGAAAATTTGGGGATTTGTAGTTGTTAGGAAACCGTCAATGCCAGTATTAGTATTTGTTTAGTGTTGATATTGAATGGGTTAGAAATCATGAATGCTATATACTGTTTTCAGGGTGCTAAAAAAAAAAGGAAGAAAATGGGGAAAAATCTTCTGATATCGTAGGCTAAACCTGCTGTGTGCAAGTCTGCTCCTTTCCTCTTTCTTGAAACATGTTTATTCCTTACTAGCAGATTTTTTTTTTTTTAATAGTGTGTGTTCATGTTTTGGAGAGTTGGCGATGGAAAAAGTGTCTGGTTGAATGTAATAACACAGGGTTTTCTAAGAGGGAATATATCTGATAGAACTCTGAGTGCATAACATAACATAATCAACTGAATTTGAAGCTGTGTGGTTTATGACAAAGGACATTCCAGTAATAATCAAAAAAAGCCAAACCCTTGGACATGTCAAACAGAACTTATTACTTGCTTGTGGATGTGTCTTTTAAAGAAAAAAAGCAAGTTGTTTTCTTTCTTGCCTTGCTTGGATAAAATCAGTAGTTTCTGTTGTTATGTAAAGTAGCTTGTATAAATATGAGAGTGAGTTTCCTGTTAGGGTGGCTTTTTTTTCCACATTGTGTGAATATTTTGTTTACGTGGAGGGTGTAAATGACTTCTGTATGATTCAGGCTCAACATTTTTTTCATCAAATGCTTTGATTTGTTTAGTGTTAACTCTGGTCGTACTGTAATATTATGCTTCATATTTTTCTGACTTTCATTTACACAGTCTATAGCACAAACTTTTTTCC